CTGAATGCTAATCAGTCTACTAAATAAAAGCAAACAGATCTTCTGGAGTGCAGAAATAGGCCCTGTGTTACTTGGTAAGACACTCATTTGAAATGAACCCTGTACTCCTGCAAGAAAAGGTAGCAGGTGCTGTGGCTGTCACTGTCCCTGTGGCTAGCAATATGCAAACACCTGAGGTCTGGTGTTGTATCACTCCACTAACTCTTCTCTGGGTCAGTGTTCAGGACCAGGCACAATTTTAGAAGAAAATTTCAGGCACAACATATAAGCTCAAGTGACACAAATGGTAAAAACAAAGGAAATGACACATGTGACTATTAGAGTTCTAGAATGACTCACAAATATTGATATCAAAGGGAAGTTAAAGGCAAATACATTAAATAGGACAAAAGATTTTTAATGACAATAAGTGAAACTATAATAAAGATAAAAAGAATGAAACACTTTTGAATTAAATAGCAAATAGCAAAACTTGATCGTTTTTTCTGTGTTTGGAGGGTTTAAAAAGCCTAAGACAGGGCCCGGTGGCGTGGCCTAGTGGCTAAAAGTCCTTGCCTTGAATGCGCCCAGGATCCCTTATGGGCGCCGGTTCTAATCCCAGCAGCTCCACTTCCCATCCAGCTCCCTCCTTGTGGCCTGGGAAAGCAGTCGAGGACGGCCCAAAGCTTTGGGACCCTGCACCCGTGTGGGATATCAGGAAGAGGCTCCTGGATCCTGGCTTCGGATCGGCATAGCTTCGGCCGTTGTGCGGTCACTTGGGGAGTGAATCATCGGATGGAAGATCTTCCTCTCTGTCTCTCCTCCTCTCTGTATATCTGCCTTTCCAATAAATAAATAAATCTTAAAAAAAATAATAAAAAATTAAAAAGCCTAAGACAGTAGATTTTGTGGGTATTAACAGAATACATAATCTGATATAAAGAGAATGTTCAGAAATATGTATAAAAACTGATATTCTTTTGGACTAAAGGTAGATTTTAATGCAAAAAATAAAGATTTAAGGCTCAGTCTCTAACTGCAAACTATAAATTGTGAAAGAAATATAAAACAAAGCAAAGCAAACTATCTCAAGCACATCAAAATCTATAACAAAATAAAACCCAAATCACTTCTAACTACTTTGGCTCAAAGAAGAAATACAAAATCTAATTTTATATTATTTACAAATAATTGAAACTGCAACAACTCATACTAGGATAGTTAAAACTACAAGCACAACAAATTTTTAGATATGAATGTTCAGTCTTTAAAGATAAATGAATAAGAAAGAAAGCTTTCTATTAAAAGAGTAGAAAGAAAAAAAAGACAAAGAAATTAGGAGGAACAAAAATAACATACATAATAAATTTTTTTAAAAAGCTAACATATTTGGATATGTAAATGAATCCTAGGAAAAGAAAATTATCAAAACTGAAATATGAAGGAGAAAAAAACAATAAAACAACAGTTACCACCCTAAAAAAAGCTTTGGCTCGAGATGGTTTTACAGTGGAGTTCTTTAAAGCACCAAAGACTATGCCATATAAACTGATGCCAACACAGAAAATTAGGGAAACACTAACACTGACAGCAAAACCTGACAAAGACAGCACAGAAAAGGAAATCACAGACCAAGTGCACTTAGGAATACAGACGGAACTATGGGAAATAATACATGTGGCAGCATGGGGAGGATATTTCCTCCAGGAACGAAAGAGTGTGTCTGAGGTACAATCCATCATCACATCAATGGCTCAAAGAAGGAGCAAGATTTCCAGCCCTGGCTTTTCCTTTAACTCATTTTGTGACACTGGGAAAATCCCTTAATTTCTCTAGGTGTCAATGTTTTCATCTATAAAACAAAGACAGACACATATCAGAAGTCTTAGGAAATCTTCCACAATACTACAATGTTATTATTAATGTCAGGGATACAATTCTGTGTTAATCATTCTTGGTTTTAAATTAACATCTACTATGTGTAGGCACTGTGGGACAGTAAGTAAGGTATACTTTTAGTGAAATATTTTTATGAACTGCAATATGCAGGTGTAGGTACTGATTCGAAGTAAGCCACTTTCCAATTCCAAAGCAAAACTTGCTTCTTTCTGAGTATAGTATTATCAGAAATTCCTCTTCCTTTCTAAATTTCAGTATCTGGTCTCTCTAACATATTCCCTTTTAATCTCTAATGTATATCCCTTTTTGTCTCTATTGATTAGCAAACTAACTGCTCAAAATGGAGGCTGTCACTACTTCCTTCAGTCTCTTGTTTAAAGAAAGCTTTTAATTTTTTCAAAGAAAAAAAATCTGTGAACATTTATGGAAACCTTAGGAAAATACTTCAAGGAAAAATTCAAATAAATATTACAGAAAATATTGTCATGCTTTCCTTGAGGGAAGAAAATGTTTAGCAACCTAAGAATTGTTTTCATGGGCCAGGGTCACACTGCAAATTTAGAGTGCCGTCTCCAAGGTGATATGCATGGTTGTGTAATGGATAACCATTACTTTGTTAAAAAATACAAATATCCCTTGTTCTCTCACTAGTCCATAATGGAAATGTCATACCTTATTTGTCCAATTTGCCTTTCAAGAAACTAGGTTGGTAAAACTGTATGATTAGTTGCTCAATATTTTCTACTTTAGACAAACAGAACTTTAGAGCAACACACACACATGTATCTTCTTCAACTTACTCATTTTGTAGATGAGCCAACTGACAGAGTGGTTACAACATTTATTAAAGTCACAAAATTTAAAGATATGATCAATTCTCTTTCTAACATTTTACACAAGCTTGGCAGATAGTTACAACCTTTTCTTGAATTCATATTTGTATCTTTGAAATTTTAGAGGGTTAAACTCATCCTAATTGACATTAATTTAATGAATATTTTGTGCTTACTAAAAATATACATTCTTCATGAGGGTAGGGATTATGTTGCTTTAGCCATTATACCATCAGAACTTATATCAGAGTCTAACACCTAGAAGATATTCAGTAGACTGCAATAGGTTGAATGAAACACAGCATTCTCAGTTGTGACTTTTTAAAGAGAAAAAGATTTTTTTTGCTTGATCTTTATTCTTTTAATATTTCAGATCTTTTTCTTCATGTTTTTGTCCAACTCCATTATGATTCTTTTACTGGTAGTGAGAATTTTGAATGCTGGTATAAAGTTTTCCTTTTAAATATCCCGATCTTTTTAATAAGTATAATTATACTGTATTATCTTACTTGGATAATAATAGCATTTATTCAATACATTTCTCCTGAACTGTATCAGTACAACATATTTATGCTGCTGGATTGGGAGTTCAGTAATCAGAAAATTCTGATTTTATTCACTCTTACAGACTAAATTCCCCCTCCCACATGAATTATAAATATGTTAAACAAGACTAGATACTGTTCTCTAAGATAATACATTTGCTTCTATACTTTTGTTTCTCGTATGGAAATAAATTATCTGTATAATCAAACTTATTTGAATATGTAGTATGTGTGATTTGCTGAGCTTCTTTGTCCTGAGTAGTAATTTACAACATTCTTTGGCTAATATAGAGGAATAGGTTTGGGATTCAGAAAAAGAGACTTGTAAAAGTTAAAGTAAAAAACATATTTTAGATTTTCCTTCACTCATCAGTGATATGCACTGACTTACTGTCTTCCACTGTCCCTCTGACTCCAGACACATCTTTCCTATCATCCTTAATAACGAGAGAAACCCTTTTATTGAACAACCGTACATTGGCCTTTATTATTAGAACTCCCCGTCATTCTGAAGAATTCTAGAAAACCTATTATTTTAAAATTTATTTATGCAAAGGGAATAGGTTAATTTTAAGAACACAATTTTTTTTCACTCTTCTCTCACTCACTCCTCCTTCATTGTTCTTTCATTTTTTCCAATGATATACTTTAAATTTACTTTATAACCACAAGCTTAATCATCCACTGAAGAGCTCAACAAGCAGAAAGTAAAAAGATCACTGCTCTTCAGGAGCACAGCCAAGGACTGTAAATAGTAACCAAATCTCAAGATGTCAAGGTCACTCAGATACATCACAGTTTTTTCAATTCTGTATACTATCACAAAAACCTATGAAATTTGTAATTTTTGGACTAGCTTATTTCATTAAACATAATGTGCTCAAATTTCACCAATTTTATTGCAAAAGTCAGGATTTTACTTGTTTTCATGCACAAGGAGTAGTCCATCCTCCTCTATCTACCACATTTCTTTACCCAGTCATCAGCTGATAGACATTTGGGTTGAGTCTATGTTTTGACTATGATGAATTAGGCTTCTATAAGCATAGGGGCAGGGATAACTCTTTCAAATGTTGCTTTATTTTTGGTGGGGAGAAAAATGCCTGGAAGCCTGAGATCTATTTTCAGATTTATGAGGAATCTCCATTCTGCATTCCATAATAGTTGTATTAATTTAAATTCCTTCCAATAGTGTAGAAATGGTGTCTTTTTCTCCACATTCTATCTAAAATTTGTCATTTTTGGATTTTCACATTTTAGCCATTCTAACTGGGGTTAAGTTAAACTTTATTTTTCATGTGTCTGCTGGTCATTTATATTTTATCCTTATGTATGTTCATATCCTTAGCCCATTTCTTAACTGGCTTGTTTGTTTTGTTTTCAAATTTCATGAATCCTTATTTATCCTTTATCAGCTGTACACTTCACAAATATTTCCTCCTGTCAGTTATCGCTTCACTTTGTTGTATTCTGTGCTGTGAATACATACATCAAACTAAAACATACATCAAACTAAGCTTGATACATACTCCAAACTAAAAAAAAAAAAAACCTTTTTAGTTAGTAATTTTATTACTACACATACCACCAGAGATGCTTAAAAAGCAGAAGGAATCTTAGGATGTCTCAGTGCAGCTCCCTATAACAGCTTGAGACTCACTGGTGATAAAACATACCATTCTGGCCAAGGATCTTGTTAAGTTTCTTCAATATATAAACACGCCTTATACCAGCTAACACTTACTTGTACTCATCATAGACTTCTTGCTTGGGTAATGAAGTCTCAGGATGCTCCTCTAGGGTATTCCGAATCCAGGACAACGCATGCATTTGCTGTGTCCGACTAGATGACATGGCATTCTGATCGCTAATCATAAAATAAAAATACATGTTTGAACTAGGTACAAATTCATTGATAACTTTTGAAATGAGCTTTAACGCTTCACTAAAAACAAACAAAACAAACAAAACAACCCCAAAACCAAAAAATATATACACATTATAAATGACCAGATCAACTTTAGTTTATATAATAGCAAATGCTCAGCAACCTATATACAAACTATCTATCTAATCTATACACAAACTATCTATTTACAATTATTAACCATTTCCTAGAACCACCATCCAACTGAAGTTACTGCCCCAATCTACCTCTCCCCATGATTTTCAAAATGGCATAGATGAAGGCTCATTAACAATATAGCATACTAGTTTTAGCCAAATTACTTCTAGTGGGTGTCTGTTTACTTACTTGCCTGTTCATTTGCCTACACTTAATCAAATTTCCAAACAGTTGTAACTACAGATAAGGAAAAAAAGTTTGGCTTCTACTTACTAAGTATATCAAAATAATATATTCTATGCAAGTAACTATATTAAAGTCTTAACAAAGTATGTTATCTACAGAATTAGATTTACACCAGGCAGATTCTGAAGGGATAGCTCTTCCTCTGCAAATGTGTAATCAGGACCCACATGCTAAGCTAATGCGTTCACTAAACATCTGACATTTTTATTACATAGGTATCTCATGTATAAGCTGATCTCATCTAAGATAATGTGAAGGTAGCTGCTCTATTGACTTTCACAGTCATCTTAATGACCTGGAAGCATTCATTTAATTCTAAAGAAGATACCGAGAAAGTTTCTAGAATACGAAATAATTAAAATTGCGATACAGTTGTGCAAACTGTAAATGAAGAAAGGTAAAAACAGCAGAACACTAAGGATAACTTACTTGAATGAAACAAATCTTGAGAAATGATTAAAATGTAAGGAAATCTTTAAAGAATAGAATAACCGAATGAGCAATTTCTATATATTTCCTAAGTGAAATTCAAATATTTTTAATGATGAAACCTAAATAATTCCTTAAATATTTAAAATATGTTCACTTCATTGTGAAGTCATGTTCTATACCAGTAATTTCACTACTATTTTTCTGTTACACGCTTTCCAGATAGTACAAGATAAAACTCTTCTACTTCATTCCTCAGCTACTTAACTATTCTTTGGTTTTCTGTTCGCTTTTCCCAACCTCTTATTATGCATACAAATACCCGTATGTCTATAGAAGGTTATTCAGATTGCAGCATACGGCATTTATCCACTTAACACCATTGAATCAGCAAAAAGTGCTGGTAAACATATACACATCATCAAAAACTAAAATGACCTTTTAGGTTTTTCTTTTTTATTTTCTAGCGATTTTAGGAATATTATGAAATGGTAACAACTTGGGAATATTACAAAACAGCAAGAACCACAACACACACAAACATCCTGTCATGCAACAAGGAGCACAGATACCTTTTTTCTCCATTGCTGAGACCAGAAGGCAGCTGAAGGTAGAGGTAGAGTTTCTCTAGGTCTGTAAACTTCTCAACTTCTTGCTGATTAAAAGAGACAAAAAAAAAAAAAGGTCACTTTTTAAACACACTTGTTTTCTTTATAACAAATTTTTCTAACATCTCATGCAAAGACATTAATTATATAATTTAAACCAGATGAATTACCTATCAAATAAATGTTTTTTTTTTTAATCACTAATACAATGAAGGGGTTTTTTTTTGACACGCTCATTGCTTACACAAACCCAGTAATAAGAAAATGGTACTTCCTTGTTAATTCTAGTGGAGATAAATAAAATCATAGATCAATGCCAACACAAAGCAGGGTTTTAAAGAACTGTATAACAGGCACTGTACCAAGAGTCTAGAGAAATATTTATTAGTTTTAGCCTAATCATTAACTTAACTTGGCAGAGGGCTGGTCAGTTTTCCTAACAGCTATAAAATGGATGAGATGTTTCTGGAATCCTGTTCCAGTTCTCAAAGACATGTAACTGATGCTATAATTCTTAGCTGTGAATGGAACTTCGGCTAGACTATGCAGATTTAATAATTTTCTGACTTACAATAGTCGATTTACATGACCTGTCTATAGCATTCTCTATTAGCATCTGTAACTCATATTTTTATACAAACATAATCTTTAAACCAATTTCTGCATTCCTCTTTGTAGTTATTTTTCCCGGCTAAAGGTACCACATAACAGTTTCTAATGTATCATACATCCTATTATAACAAAATCTTATGAAAAATTTTGGTACCCTAACTCAAACACAACTAACTCTATTGCAGCAGGAAAAAAATAGATAGATTACTAGAATTTCTGGAGCCAGAATTTATTACTTCTTCATAAAGCACAGCTGAAACTTAGATCCAACTTTTCAAAATGTTCAGGATACAATTTGGCCTATCTTATTTTTGCCAGAATTTATCCACAGAAGTTTAATCTCAGAAGTTATCCACAGAATGATTTAATCTATTAGTTGCGTGTAAGTAGCTCACAAATCTTTTAAAAATCCCACTGTCTATGTGTACTTTCCAATTAGATGTTGCTCGAACAGATTTACCAACTATTCCTTTACAGTGCTCCCCGCAAAGAATAAAAACAAACACACCAGAAACATTTGCTTCTCATCTGTCACTTATCATCACCTTCTTAGCTCTGGTTTCCAGAACATTCAGTTTTAGATTCTGATTAATTCTGTTCTTTGTGGTGCATTTCACATTAACCCTTCATTAGCTCTGCCACTCTGTCTCATATTCTTCTAGTCTCATTTTTCTTTTCCTTTCTTTTTTGATTTACTTACTATTTGAAATACAGATTTTACAGCAAGCGAAGAGACACACAGAGAGATCTTTTATCCACTGGTTCACTCCCCAAATGTCCACAATGGCCACAGCAGAGCTGATCCAAGGCTGGGAGCCAGGAGCTTATTCCAGTCTCCCACTGGCTGCAGGGTCCCAAGGCGTTGGCCCACCTTCCGTTGCTTTTCCTGTCCATAAGCAGATAGCTGGATTGCCAGTGCAGCAGCCAGGACCGAGATGCTAGTGCTGCAGGTGGAATATTAGCCTGATACACCCCACTGGTCCTTAGTTTCTTTATTTTCTTTTTTTTTTTTTAAAGATTTATTTTTATTATTTTTTCATTGGAAAGGCGGATATACAGAGAGGAGAGACAGAGAGGAAGATCTTCCGTCCGATGATTCACTCCCCAAGTGAGCGCAACGGGCCGATACTATGCCAGTCCGAAGCCAGGAGCCTCTTCCGGGTCTCCCACGCGGGTGCAGGTTCCCAAAGCTTTGGGCCGTCCTCGACTGCTTTCCCAGGCCACAGGCAGGGAGCTGGAAGGGAAGCGGGGCTGCCAGGATTAGAACCGGCGCCCATATGGGATCCCGGGCGTGCAAGGCGAGGACCTTTAACCACTTGCGCCACCGCGCCGGGCCCCAGTTTCTTTATTTTCAATGCCACCACCTTTTCTAGCTCTTCATCTGTTCGTCTTTCAACAATAAGAAATTCACTGACTCATTTGCTTATTTATTGTGTACTTACATGTACCACAAATGATGTAGGATATTCTACGATCATATACTATGTGAGGAGTGATTCAAACATGCCATCTTGGACCCTGTGCCATTTGGGGCTTTCCCTTCCCCACAGCTCACGAAATTCGTGACTTTCTTGTTATCCACTAATCAGCTGTAACCTAAGGCCTTACCTGAGAATCCCACTCCCAGTCTCTCTGGTCCCTTCCCCTAGTCTTCACCCACCTACTTGTGACTCAGATAACCTCAGTCACACAGCCCACACAGCCTCTCCCATCTCCTTCCCCTGCCCTGCCATCCTCTCCCTTCCCCTTCTTATTTGGCTCTTTCCAGTCCTCCTCCATCTTGTCCTTTCCCCTTCCCTGGCAGCACCCATCCTGTCACCATGGCCGGAGATGTGTCCCTTCCAGTTTTCTTCCCCTCCGCCCCTGCTCCTGTTCCTACCCTACTGGAATAAAGGATTTACTAAGCAGCTTGTTGCGTCTGGGATTTGGCTTGTGGTAAACTAATTATAAAAAAAAGGACTTGGTTGTGGGAATTAGTTGCATGTAACAACGTAAGAACCCTAAGAACTTTAAGTACACTTAAAACCCAACATACTATGTATCACAAATATTGTTAGATTGAGCAATACAATATAACACAGTATTTGCCCCTAAGAATTTATACTAATTTATAAATTACTAGAATGTCTAAGTAGCTGGAGCTGATTTCCCTGATCCAACATCTTCTCTACTTTAATCTGTTTCAAAAAGCTCTTACCAAATATTAAGAGCATCCTGTTAAGTCCAACAATACCTATCATACTAAAGCTTTATGATGGAGAATCAAGATGGTGAAATAGGGTGAGGACACATTTAAACAGATGGAGAAACATTAGCCAGGGTGAAGCAGAAAGGGCACATTCCAGCAAATAGGAGAGGACAGATCAACAGCAGAGGGACACCTGGAGACTGATGGACACAGGAAAGCAGTGGAGACAATGATGTGGTGCTACAGTGACCTGATATAATACCTTAATGGCATTCAGCAAGTGGCGATCTGAGCTCCACCAGGAGCAAGGTGGGAAGCAGATTTCACTGTGAACTCAGGAGGTGAACTCAGACAAAGAACTGCCCATCCTGCTGGTTTGTTTTATTTAACCAGGAGCAGAGACAGAGCAGAAGATCCCCAAGAGGTGGTGTGGGAACTGAGTGGATTTCACAGCTCAAACGCACGCTATGGTCGAATTGGGTGCCACCTTGTGTAGGGAGGCAATGGTTCTGGGGCCGGACTGTGTATGCACTAAGCTGGGAGCAAGCTCATTTTGGGCTCAGTGAATTACAACGATGTGGGATACTTCAAGTGTTTTGCAGTGTCTAGTGTTCTCTCTTTCTCTCTCTCAACTGGACTGAAGCTCCTTAAATCCCCTTCTCCTGAAAGAATCCTGAAAGTTATGACAGGGCCAGATGGTATGTTCTTTCAATACACTTAATATTCTACTTCATATTTTAAAATTAAAATTACAGAGCACTTTAAGGGAGAGTCTAGTTTTTTGTCTTATTTGCTCCAGATATTCTTTATCTCTTTAATTGCAGGGACAATATTACATAGGAGTTTGCTCATTTCTCTACTGACAAATAGTCAATTATTGCAAAGTGCCACTGTTTGAAACAGTGCTGTGATGAAAATTCTGATTTGTGAATCCTGTATCCTTATGTGAACATTTCTTTTTTCAGGGATACACTTAAATGGAAATATGTGGTCATGAGGTTTCATATCTTTAACTTTACTTGTATATTTTAGAAACTTGCAAAAACTGTTATGCTGATTATGTTCCCAAGAGCAACAATTTCTCTGTCATTTTGTTTTATCTCTTTATCACACTGTTGTATCTTTTTTCTCTGGCTGATGATGACACTGAGTATGTTTTCATGTTACCATTTGTGTTTAATGCAGCACCCAAATTGAGTTGGCTTTGGATCACCTGGGCTGCACAGATGCTGCACTCTCCTGAGGTGGGGACCAGGATGACTCTGTCACGGATCATCAGAAAGATCACACTTGAGCCCAACACAATGGTTCAGTGGCTAAATCCTTGCCTTGTACATGCCAGAATCCCATATGGCCCAGTTTGTGTCCCAGCTGATCCGCTTCCCATCCAGCTCCCTGCTTGTGGTCTGGGAAAGCAGTTGAGGATGGCCCAAAGCCTTGTGATGCTGCACCCATGTGGGAGACCTGGAAGGAACTCCTGACTCCTGGCTTCGGATCATCTCAGCTCTGGCTGTTGCTGAGGGAGTTCGCTTGCTTGGGCAGTGAACCAGTTAATCTAAGATTCCTCTGACATGGATCTTTGGGAAAAAGTTCATCGCTTATTCATGAGATGGTCTTATAGCAAACCGTTTGGTTCAATAACTCTTTTAGAATGTATATCACAAAGATATCTTCCTAAGAATATTGTTAGATAATTGATTAGCATAGTAATAAAGGTAACTGGGATGGAGTTTTTATAAACTTGAAATTACTAGGCAAATTTTACTGACAAATTGAGAACTGATAAAGCTGTAGGAGTATTATACGTATACATTCATAGGAACATAAATGATAGTGAATGAAGTAGCTGTTTGTTACTTGAACTTGAGGGACTGATCCTTCAAATCTAATCTACCACAGGCAATATGATATAGTACTCAGACAAAGGACACAGAAATAGAAGACCTCTACGTGCGTTACAAATTAGCCATTCAATTATTTTCTACTACTAGGCAAGCTGTTTAAGATGAGTGTAATTTTTAAAATTATTAATAATAAAATGCTTATTTAATTTTGTGATTAAAATATCTATAAAGTATTTCTGGTATGTATTATTATGTGTTATTGTTTTCAAGTTACAATCATCACTTATTGCAACAGGCCACTAAAGCTTGTTCCTTCTCATTGGAGCTTTGTACACTTTGGTCAATCTCTCTCCTTTCTCCATTCACCACCCTCATGTTCAGTCCTTAAGAATCATCATCTTAT